TCTGATGGTTCACAGTATCAAAGGCAGCAGATAGGTCTAGAAGGATGAGAGCAGAGGAGAGAGAGTTAGCTTTAGCAGTGCTGAGAGCCTCCGTGACACAGAGAAGAGCAGTCTCAGTTGAATGACCAGTCTTGAAACCTGACTGGTTTGGATCAAGAAGGTCATTCTGAGAGAGATAGCAGGAGAGTTGGCTATAGACGGCACGCTCAAGAGTTTTGGAGAGAAAATAAAGAAGGGATACTGGTCTGTATTTGTTGACATCGGAGGGATCGAGTGTAGGTTTTTTGAGGAGGGGTGCAACTCTCACTTTCTTGAAGATGGAAGGGACATAGCCAGTGGACAAGGATGAGTTGATGAGCGAGGTGAGGTAAGGGAGAAGGTCTCTGGAAATGGTCTGGAGAAGAGAGGAGGGGATAGGGTCAAGCGGGCAGGTTGTTGGGCGGCCGGCCATCACAAGTCGCAAGATTTCATCTGGAGAGAGAGGGAGAAATAAGTCAAAGCATATGGTAGGGCAGTGTGAGCAGGACCAGCGGTGTCATTTGACTTAATAAATGAGGATTGGATGTCGTCAACCTTCTTTTCAAAATGGTTGACAAAGTCATCCACAGAGAGGGAGGAGGGAGGGGGAGGAGGAGGATGAGGAGGAGGATTCAGCAGGTAGGAGAAGGTGGCAAAGAGCTTCCTAGGGTTAGAGGCAGAGGCTTGAAATTTAGAGTGATAGAAAGTAGCTTTAGCAGCAGAAACGGAGGAAGAGAATGTAGAGAGGAGGGAGTGGAAAGATGACAGGTCCGCAGGGAGTCTAGTTTTCCTCCATTTCCGCTCGGCTGCCCGGATCCCTGTTCTCTGAGCTCGCAATGAATTGTCAAGCCACGGAGCAGGAGGGGAGGACCGTGCCGGCCGGGAGGATAGGGGACATAGAGAGTCAAAAGATTCAGAGAGGGAGGAGAGGAGGGTTGAGGAGGCAGAATCAGGAGATTGGAGGGAGAAGGATTTAGCAGAGGGAAGAGATGATAGGATGGAAGACGAGAGAGTAGCGGGAGAGAGAGAGCGAAGATTGCGACGGCACATTACCATCTGAGTAGGGGCAGAGTGAGTAGTGTTGGAGGAGAGCGAGAGAGAAAAGATACGAAGTAGTGGTCGGAGACTTGGAGGGGAGTTGCAGTGAGATTAGTAGAAGAACAGATCTAGTAAAGATGAGGTCAAGCATATTGCCTGCATTGTGAGTAGGGGGGGACAGTGTGAGGGTGAGGTCAAAAGAGGAAAGGAGTGGAAAGAAGGAGGCAGAGAGAAATGAGTCAAAGGCAGACGTAGGGAGGTTAAAGTCATCAGAACTGTGAGGGGTGAGCCATCCTCAGGAAAGGAACTTATCAAGGCGTCAAGCTCATTGATGAACGGCAGTTCCAGAGGCTACCGGAGACCTGGAACTCCACGTGGGTCGTGCGCGCAGGGACCACCAGATTAGAGTGGCAGCAGCCACGCCGTGTGAAGCGTTTGTATGGCCTGTGCGGAGAGGAGAGAACAGGGATAGACAGACACATAGTTGACAGGTTACAGAAAAGGCTACAATAATGCAAAGGAGATCGGAATGAAATTAACTAAGCATCTGGGAAAGCGAGAGAGCGGGGCCTCTCTCACGTTTCACTGAAACACTCAAATATAACTCTCCCAACTTCCACATTAGATTAATATACTTTAGTTAGTGTCTGGTCTGTTAGCAATGTTACCAAACAGACTAGTTCTGTCTCTTACCTCTAGTTAGCGTCTGGTCTGTTAGCGATGTTACCAAACAGACTAGTTCTGTCTCTTACCTCTAGTTAGTGTCTGGTCTGTTAGCGATGTTACCAAACAGACTAGTTCTGTCTCTTACATCTAGTTAGTGTCTGGTCTTTTAGCAATGTTACCAAACAGACTAGTTCTGTCTCTTACCTCTAGTTAGTGTCTGGTCTTTTAGCGATGTTACCAAACAGACTAGTTCTGTCTCTTACCTCTAGATAGCGTCTGGTCTATTAGCGATGTTACCAAACAGACTAGTTCTGTCTCTTACCTCTAGTTAGTGTCTGGTCTATTAGCGATGTTACCAAACAGACTAGTTCTGTCTCTTGCCTCTAGTTAGTGTCTGGTCTATTAGCGATGTTACCAAACAGACTAGTTCTGTCTCTTACCTCTAGTTAGTGTATGGTCTATTAGCGATGTTACCAAACAGACTAGTTCTGTCTCTTACCTCTAGTTAGTGTCTGGTCTATTAGCGATGTTACCAAACAGACTAGTTCTGTCTCTACCTCTAGTTAGTGTCTGGTCTATTAGCGATGTTACCAAACAGACTAGTTCTGTCTCTTACCTCTAGATAGCGTCTGGTCTATTAGCGATGTTACCAAACAGATTAGTTCTGTCTCTTGCCTCTAGTTAGCGTCAGGTCTGTTAGCGATGTTACCAAACAGACTAGTTCTGTCTCTTACCTCTAGTTAGTGTCTGGTCTATTAGCGATGTTACCAAACAGACTAGTTCTGTCTCTTGCCTCTAGTTAGCGTCAGGTCTGTTAGCGATGTTACCAAACAGACTAGTTCTGTCTCTTACCTCTAGTTAGTGTCTGGTCTATTAGCGATGTTACCAAACAGACTAGTTCTGTCTCTTGCCTCTAGTTAGTGTCTGGTCTATTAGCGATGTTACCAAACAGACTAGTTCTGTCTCTTACCTCAAGTTAGTGTCTGGTCTATTAGCGATGTTACCAAACAGATTAGTTCTGTCTCTTGCCTCTAGTTAGTGTCTGGTCTATTAGCGATGTTACCAAACAGACTAGTTCTGTCTCTTACCTCTAGTTAGTGTCATAAATGTGGTTAGTATCTCTAGTTAGTGTCTCTAGTTAGAGATCCTTCAGATAAGGCAGAATTATTAGCTACAGTGACTGTGTGGAATCAAATCCAGTATCTCTCTTCCCTTCTCTGTGCCCTTCTTGACCCCCTTCTCCAGTATCTACAGTAAGAGAACTGGACAGGTGAGAACAACAGGAGTGGTATACACATTACAAAAACATGAAAGTGTATTTTGATTCTCTCTCATTTTGACAAATCAATATCATGTGTAGTTTGCTAATCATATCACACGTATGCCTACATACTGAATGTCTGAATCGTCAACAATGGACTGTGGTCATGCTTCCTTTAAAATCACTGTTCTATGGAAAGTGATTGACAGTTTGCTAATGGAACACCTATTGTGTGTCCGATTTTTTTGAGTGTGGCACATATATCTGATACGCCCTACGCCCACTTCCTAATGCACTCCCTGCTTCCCCTCCATCCATACCCCCCTGAAGCCAAAATCAATACAGCAGACACCGTCATTAGATGTAATAGTCGGGTGGAGATTCAAAACCATTTCAGTGGGCACTGATACATTCCCTCCCCCCCTCTCCTCCCATGTCTTCCTCTCTAGTGTCATTAATGCCTTCTGATGTGTTGTAGGAATCATATCAGCTTGACAGTGCTAAATGACTTACTGTGGTCTCTGGCTCTAGTCTGAAGGTGCTTGTCTTGGTTCTGATGAGTTTATAAATTGGTTGTTAATTGTAGTGCATATTTGTATGGCTTTGTAAATATCAGGAGATGGGCTCCGCTGAATACGTGGGTCTCAATCCCTTGAAAGAGCATTAAGGAAATGTTTTGGCAAAAACATTCTTCACCATGCTGCTATCATGAAGTGACAAAATACTGTTTATATTGGTGTGATTTCTCTAAGGGTTGATTCAAAGGGACATTTTGCTGTGCAGATTTTCCTCACTGCATATTTGATAGTACTAAAGCCCAGGGCTAATAACTTGCAAACTGTCTATTATGTGTTTGTCTGCCAAACAAACAAACCCTGGTTACTGTGATACATGAGTTAATTAGTCAATTAGTGTGAAGATTAGAAGAGTTTGTCATTTTGTTCTGCAAAGCGACAACAATCTGATTGTGATAAATTGAATCCCAGTCCTTTAATGTAACCTCTCCACCCTGAGGCATGGTGATTACTGTCTATCTTCTTTCAATAGAGAATGAGAAGGAATTATCACACCAATATTCATTACATTGAGTTTATGGAAGGATTAAAGCGAGCAAATGTTGGCTTATGGGGGTGATAGCGTTTATTGTTGAAATCATTCCTGCCATCTCGAGTCTGGATTTAGCCCCAAGACAATATAGATCTATCTTCTGTAATCTTCTCCATCCTCTGACTGTATTACTTCCACTCTCCACAGCTATACAGACACACTAATTGCGTCTGAGCAGTAGAAAGACGTTGTCCAGTTATATTGCAGTCTTGTACTGATGGGCACTGTGGTTGTGGGTACAGATGCTTGAACAATAAGCCATTATATAAAGGATCTAGTTGCTATTTAGCATTCTTCCCTGTAACCCACTTGTGCTATTTGCTCGACACCGGACAGACTAAACACAATCAAACACCTCTCCGCCTGCCCTTCAGGAAAGGAGTGTGCTAAATTGGATTCATTGACAAATAACATTTGGAGAGCAAATTTGTTATAAGGAGTGGGTCAGGAATTACAATTGTGTGTCATAGGCTGCGTTTAGACAGGCAGCCCAATTCTGATATTGTTTTCCACCAGTTGGTCTTTTGACCAATCACATCAGATCTTTTCACATCAGATCTTTTTCAGACCTGATCTGATTGGTCAAAAGACTAACTGGTGGAAAAAAAATCAGAATTGGGCTGCCTGTCTAAACGCAGCCCTAGTCCACATTTATGTCAACAGCCTGCACAACTTGAGTTTTTGGCATGTCTAAATCTGCATACATGGGTGAGATCTAACCCACAAAGGCAAATAACACCAGAGAATTGGCAGTTCAGGTCAATGCTGGAAAAGGTTAGACATACCAGTATCCTAGCCAGTTGAAGACACAGGGTGGCTTACCACCAGGAAATCATGACATCGGACATTGAGTCTTGAATATGGAAGGATACACTGAGCAACAGGGTTGACAACTGTTGATAACATACCGTACAGCGTTGTCCATTCGGGACACAGTGAGGTAGGCTGCCAGATTGGCCGTGTAGGAGGAACACACAATGAGGGTGAAGAGCCACCAGCTGCCCATGACGATACGCAGAGCCACAGAACCCAGGATGGAGTCTCCCCCTAGGAACACAACAACATAAGATATAGTGTACTGTACGAAGTCTTGAACAATAACATTATGCTGATTTGATTCACTGTTTGTGATATCACAATTTATTGCACCATTGTTCTGTCGGTTTTATTTGAGCCTGTTGGTCCTATTGATCTGGTGTACATTTATAATGTTTCTGTATTTTTCAGGACCCGTTGAAAATGAGATCTCAATCATTTATTCTACTCTCTCTCACCTGTCTCTGTATCAATATACTTTAATCTCACTATTTCTAACTGTCTCACTGTATCTCTCAATCTGTCCATTTCTGTCTCAATTTTGCTCTCTCTCTTTAACCCTCTTTCTACCAACAACGTTTCCTCTCTAAATTATCCTTCACAATGCCACTGTTTTCCCAGGCAGCTAGTAGAAGATCCATCTATGAGATAAGCTTTTTCATAGCTGTCTCTCTCTCCCTGTAGCAGAGGTCTAAGCACTCTGTCTAACTACACAGGAAACAGATGAGGAAATGTCAATGTGAATTCTCATTTTGAAGACTAAAACCACAGAAATGTCATCTGAGAGATTCAGGGTGTGTGAAAAAAAGGACACGCATTTGTCTCCGAGTGTCACTATCAATGATGTACCCTAAGGACTGTTTTAAAAAGAAAAAGAAGACAACCAGAGTATTATTGTGTTCAAGCCTCAGTGAGTTTTATTAAATTGGCTTGAGGCACTTACAGTGGCTTGCGAAATTATTCACCCCCCTTGGCATTTTTCCTATTTTGTTGCCTTACAACCTGGAATTAAAATAGATTTTTGGGGGGGTTTGTGTGGCCTACCACTTTGCGGCTGAGCCGTTGTTGCTCCTAGACATTTCCACTTCACAATAACAAATGATACAAACCCCCAAAAAATCAATTTTATTCCAGCTTGTAAGGCAACAAAATAGGCAAAACGCCAAGGGGGATGAATACTTTTGCAAGGCACTGTTTGCCAAGGTCAAGAGGTCAAGAGGTTCCAGGAGATTCGTCTCAGAGAGGCATTTGTGGAACTTGACCTAAAGGCACAAGGTCATAGGGTCAAATATACTCAAAACTAAATGTAAAATGACCAAAAATATGTGGACACCTGCTCGTCGAACATCTAATTCCAAAATTATGCTTATTAATATGTAGTTTGTCTCCCCTTTGCTGCTATAACAGCCTCCACTCTTCTGGGAAGGCTTTCCTCTAGATGTTGGAACATTGCTGCAGGCCAATTCATCCCAAAGATGTTCGATGGGGTTGAGGTCAGGGCTCTGTGCAGGCCAGTCAAGTTCTTCCACACCGATCTCGACAAACCATTTCATTATGGACCTCGCTTTGAGCACGGGGGCATTGTCATGCTGAAACAGGAAAGGGCCTTCCCCAAACTGTTGCCACAAAGTTGGGAGCACAGAATCGTCTAGATTAGAATGTCATTGTAGGCTGTAGCGTTACGATTTTCCTTCACTGGCACTAAGGGGCCTAGCCCAAACCATGAAAAATGGCCCCAGACCATTATTCCTTCTCCACCTAACTTTACAGTTGGCACTATGCATTGGGGCAGGTAGTGTTCTCCTGCCATCCGCCAAACCCAGATTCAAAGTGCCATACTTTAATAGATGACGTTGAGGGTTTAACAGGGGTTGCTGAAGGAGTCATTTATTCACATCTTAGATGCCTGGATCCAGACTAGACTCAAATACCTGATATTCCTTCCATCAAAGGAACCCTTTAAATGCTATAGTGGAAAATGGGCTCCATGCTTCAAATGAAACCACTCTGTGCTGCTAACTGTATGTGTGGCATTCATAGGGACATAACAAAAGCCTTTTCTATTGCTTATATGTCTGGTTATATACAGCACCAGTCAAAAGTTTGGACACACCTACTCATTCAATGTAGAATAATAGTGAAGACATCAACACTATGAAAGAATACATATGGAATCATATAGTAACCAAAAAAGTGTTAAACAAATCAAAATATATTTTGTATTTGAGATTCTTCAAATAGCCACCCTTTGCCTTGATGACATCTTTGCACACTTTTGGCATTCTCTCAACCAGCTTCACCTGGAATGCTTTTCCAACAGTCTTCCCACATATGCTGAGCACTTGTTGGCTGCTTTTCCTTCACTTTGCGGTCGGTCTCATCCCAAACCATCTCAATTGGGTTGAGGTTGGGGGATTGTGGAGGCCAGGTCATCTGGTGCAGCACTCCATCACTCTCCTTCTTGGTAAAATAGCCCTTACACAGCCTGGAGGTGTGTTGGGTCATTGTCCTGTTGAAAAACAAATGATAGTCCCACTAAGCCCAAACCAGATGGGATGGCGTATCACTGCAGAATGCTGTGGTAGCCATGCTGGTTAAGTGTGCCTTGAATTCTAAATAAATCACAGACAGTGTCACCAGCAAAGCACCCCCACACCATAACATCTCCTCCTCCATGCTTTACGGTGGGAAATATACATGCGGAGATCATCCGTTTACCTACTCTGCATCTCACAAAGACACGGCGGTTGGAACCAAAAATCTCAAATTTGGACTCATCAGACCAAAGGACAGATTTCCACCGGTCTAATGTCCATTGCTTGTGTTTCTTGGCCCAAGCAAGTCTCTTCTTATTATTGGTGTCCTTTAGTAGTGGTTTCTTTGCAGTAATTCGACCATGAAGGCCTGATTCTCGCAGTCTCCTCTGAACAGTTGATGTTGAGATGTGTCTGTTACTTGAACTCTGTGAAGCATTTATTTGGGCTGCAATCTGAGGTGCAGTTATCTCTAATTAACTTATCCTCTGCAGCAGAGGTAACTCTGGGTCTTCCATTCCTGTGGCGGTCCTCATTAGAGCCAGTTTCATCATAACGCTTGATGGTTTTTGCGACTGCACTTGAATAAATGTTCAAAGTTCTTGAAATGTTCCATATTGACTGACTTTCATATCTTAAAGTAATGATGGACTGTTGTTTCTCTTTGCTTATTTGAGTTGTTCTTGCCATAATATGGACTTGGTCTTTTACCAAATAGGGCTATCTTCTGTATACCCCCCTACCTTGTCACAACACAACTGATTGGCTCAAACGCATTAAGAAGGAAAGAAATTCCACTAATTAACTTTTAAGAAGGCACACCTGTTTAATTGAAATGCATTCCAGGTGACTATCTCATGAAGCTGGTTGAGATAATGCCAAGAGTGTGCAAAGCTGTCATCAAGGCATAGGGTGGCTATTTGAAGAATCTCAAACATAAAATATATTTTGATTTGTTTAACACTTTTTTGGTTACTACATGATTCCATGTGTGTTATTTCATAGTTTTGATGTCTTCACTATTATTCTACAATGTAAAAAATATTAAAAATAAAGAAAAACCCTTGAATGAGTAGTTGTGTCCAAACTTTTGACTGGTAGTGTATTTATATACATCTAGCCATCTATGGATCTATCTATGTTTGTGTCATATTGCTGCCAACGGACTGAGGTACCACGATGGTCAAAAGTCGCTGTCTTGTTGTTGGTGATATTGTAACAAGTAAGCATTTCACTGTATATGAAGCAACTTTGCTGCAAGATGCTGGTGTACCCTGTTTCTTCTCTTGTGATGCCACATTACCAAGCTCACCTTGCTGCACAAAGGCTCCGTAGACAATCCAGATGGCGCTCTGCAGGGAGGTGGACACAGAGGTGGCCTGGTGTCCCCCTGGGGGATTCTGGGAGCGGACTGACTGGACGCGCCTCAGGATGAAGATCATGACCCCGACCACGGGGATGGCGGCAGCGATGCACGCCCACACGGCCAGGTCAAAGGGCGCTAGGAGAGAGAAGATATTGATCTTCTCCTCTGACTTCCTCATCAGAATCCCCACGGAGTAGTCCAGGTAGCGCTTGCTAAAGTCCACCACGCTCTCCCTCTCTGGAGTTATGGTGATGGCTGATACTGCCATGTCTGCTCGCTGTGTATAGATAGAGAGATACATCAGTTACAGCCATGACATTGAAGCTGTTGGTTCGGAGATCATAATCTTTTGTTGATGTTTGGCAAATAAAATAAAGTAAAATGTCTGTCTGTTGTGGTTTTTTGTTTGCTCTTTGGGATTGAAATGAAAGCGTCATGATTTTGCCCTCTGTTATTTTTTATTTCACACAGCAGAAGGCCGTGCTTTTTCTCCATCTTCTTTTTAAACAGTGAGACAGCATTTTTTCAGCACTTTCCCTGACTGAACCAAACTCATTTTCTCATGCTCTCTCTTGTCTCTCTGCAGCAGACATATGGTGAGCAATATGTTTGGAACATGAAATGGCAATAAAATCTCAGTGTCGAATCACAATACATATAGAATCGTGAGAATCACAATACATATCATATTGGCACCTAAGTATTGTAATAATATTGTATCATGAGGTCCCTGGCACTAATGCAGACCTATAGAGGTCAGACATTCCACATGGCAATCAACTAAATCCTTTTATTGTAAAGCTTTATTGTAAACGTTAATCTGAAATGACAGAGTTACAGTACACTGATCACATTTTGCTAGTGTCCAGTGCTGGTGTATCTGTTTTTCTCCTCATTTCACAGCATTGTCAACACACTGGTAATGGCATGGTTTTGGACACCTGCTGCTGGAGTGGGACCCTATGACACAAATCATATGTCTGGATTGTTGGGCTAAACAATAGCTCTCTAACTCAAGGCCATAATCAAAGATAAGTTGTCCCTCCATGAAGTGATATTGTCTGCAGATTATCATTAGTGTGAAGGGCTGAAAAGTAGCTCATCTGGGCTGCATTCTCTGCAGCAAGCTCACTTACAGGAAATTACAGGGACTTGCACATTGTGCAAAATAATGCAAAAAAGCCAACAACAGTCTTATTTCTACTGGTTATGATCTACTCCATTGGGTGATATAATTGTCCCATGCCAACTTACTCCCCACCTTCCCACTCACTCTCCTACTGTTAGCATTGTTAGCCTGCTGAGTTGAAGTCCCTCCTGCACTGGTGGGACTGCTTTATCTGGAGCAGCCTGACCGTCAGCCTGATGGCCAGACTGTAGTGGGTCCACTCTGATGCAAACATAATTTGGCCATATCAGATCTGCCACAATAGAGAGCCATCACACTGAAGAACATGTGAGGTGAAGTATCTTTCCAAGAAGGCCCAAATTATAATGGACTCCACTGTGTCAAGGCTACAGTCAGCTACCAAGGGCTGATAGAACTGCAGCAATAGGCAAGATGATGTCCCCAGAGCAGTCAACAGCAAACTATCGATCAACCTTCAAAATAAACAGTACAAACTCCAGTTGTGATGAACAGACTTACCTTACTGATGAGATCTCCGATCATGCCGTTCCAGGAGCCATTTGAGGTAGGGGAGCCATACTTCCCATCGGCCACCTGGTAGATCTCATACCTGAAGCCCAGGATCTTGGCCAGAGAATCCAGAACATCTATGGAGAAGCCTTTGTAGCGTTTAGGCTGGCCAAGGATGTTCTCAGCTACCATCACAAAGGGATCCTCCTGTTGGATAACATAAATAAATAACTTTAACTACATGACAACATACTCTTTTTGTAGCTAAAAGTTGAAACACTACTGTACATTTTACAGAGTTGTGTCTGTGTGCATTAATTCACAGTCCCATCATTTGTCAAAAGGCCAGCCTAGTTTCATTAACTGGTCCAGTTCAACCGACAGGTAGAACAGTATTCATTTAGGACTTTTGTGTGACAACTTTCTGAAAACCAGCTGCAGTTTCTATATCAAACTTCATCTTCATAACGAGTCTTCTGGGTGGTTGTTGACCTGTAATACCCAGTGCTGTGGAGAGGTGACACTTCATCAGGCAGAAATTACCACCCTAAATTTACTGCGGTAAACCATGGCTCTTCTTTATGGGAAAGAGTGTCAGGGCTGAACTGAATGGATGGAAAAGTGAGTTGAAGAGGAAAGCTGCTGGGGTGGATTGGAAAAAACGTCATGATTAAACGGCACTGCCAAGAGGAAGCCGAGCAGAACTTATTTGAATAAATATGGAACAGGTAAATCTTGTGTGAAGAGAAAGAACAGAAGCTAAGGCAGCAGCTAAGGATGAGCTGTACGGTTGGAGTTTATGTCTTACAGATGTCCTAGATCAGGGTCGGCCCTAGCCACTAAGCGACATAAACGACTGCTTAGGGTCCCCGTGGCTGCTAGTTTTTAGGAACTCAGTCGGGGTCTCAACTTACTGTTGAGGGTTAGATTAGTAGAATACACTCTGTGCAATTTCATAATTTGGTTGTACATCAGCAGTTTTTCTCTTGTTATGTCAGTCACTGACAGTCACTCAATTAGCTCATGTCAGCTAACATTTTTTAGATTGGTAAATTAGTCTAGCCAGTTATCTACAATACCTGTAGAGGTATTGTTAGAGAGGGGTAAAGGTAAAGATTTTTGTTCAGGCGCCAGGCAGGTATTAACCCTGCCGATTTAACAGTAGAATAAAGAGAGTACCTGTACCAGACACACACACATCAGCAGAAGAGACTGCCTAGGTCCTAGAGTATAGCCTGTTTGCCAGATAGCCAGTGGAGAGAACGGATAAGACACACCATATGCACACCAGTCACAGCACAGGGCTAAACCAACCAATAATACCTCATACAATAATAATGTCAGAGCAACTCAGAGGCAACTTCATAGAAACAACTGACCAGAAAGAACCCAGTCATCAACCTTAGAGGATTTGCAATAATCTGTATTACCTCCCAGTGGTGGAGGGAGTGGGACATAACGGTATGTGTGTAAACCAAATCTCAGTAGTCCCACAAAAAATCAATACAGTTCAAACAATAATAAAAAATAATAAACTCACACGCAACCTCCCTTAAAGTAAGTACTGCTGTGCAAAAGTTCCACAGCAGCATTGAATAAAAAGGACCACAGCACAATAATATAATATGCCATTTAGCAGACGCTTTTATCCAAAGCAACTTACAGTCATGTGTGCATACATTTTTACGTATGGGTGGTCCCGGGGATCAAACCCACTACCCTGGCGTTACAAGCGCAATGCTCTACCAATTGAGCTAGAGGACCACAATGAGAGAAAAAAAATATTATATGCTATATTCGTCCCTCCCTCCGTCCGACACACTCTTTGGTTAGTTTAGTTTGTCTCATAAAAGCTCCACAACAATGTTGCTAATAATCCATGCAATCAATGGAAAGAGCGGTCCCAACAGATTCCAAACACACAGTAGAGCTGTACACGGCAATCTGACTTAAAACGTTCATAAACTAAGCACGGCAAAAATAAACAAGACTTCTGCAAAGAAATGCACACACTGTCAAAACTGCCACGCCAACCGAGAGCTATCACACAGAGAAGGAAGAGCTATATTTACTTCCTCCTTCCTGACAGCTGGTGCGCTCCTAAAGTGGTGCAGGATGTGCAGAAGTGCAGGATTTCGCCACAAACTTGTAGTAATCATGGTCAAATGACCAACCGGGAACGCAGGGCACATGCCCAGGGGCCCTGACCTCCAGGTGGCCCCCATTGATTTTGTTAGTCACTCTCACTCAGATATCATATTAACATGGCATAAGTCATGGCAAAATGAGTAGAATAATTGCAGGAAATTAGCTATAAACTGCAAGAATGTCTCTCCACCCTATGGCAAAATGGCAATTTCTTCTCTCCGTTGTCAAGAGGAGGGCCACTAAAATGTTGCTTAGGGCCCTCAAAAGGCTAGGGCCGGACTTGTCGTAGATCCACAGAGCCAGATGGAGAAGAAGACCTCACATTATGTCCTAATCCTACTACACAGAAAAGGAGTATAGCATCAACGTGGACAGTTGGTATTGAGTTGGTAATGAGTTGGTAGTGAGTTGGTAGTGAGTTGGTAGTGAGTTGGTAGTGAGTAAGCACTTACCAGTAATGTTACCACCTTGACCGTCACTCCTTGCATGCCGTTTTCTATCCGACTCTCCTTTAGACTACCGTTCAGCCCACGAGTTGAGTCCCAAGTTGCCAACTGAGCGAGAGAGTGAGAGTGAGAGAGAGAGAGAGAGAGAGAGAGAGAGAGAGAGAGAGAGAGAGAGAGAGAGAGAGAGAGAGAGAGAGAGAGAGAGAGAGAGAGAGAGAGAGAGAGAGAGAGAGAGAGAGACGAGAAGGGAGAGGGAGAGGGAGAGAGTGTCAGCAATATAATTAAACAATCTATTATCTTCAGTGAAAACACAAATTGGTGTGTGATGACAAATCTAATCACCATAGTTGGCACACATGACTCACTTTTAAGAAGCACAGGGAACTGGCCATGCAAATAGATGAGCTGGTCACCAAGGCAACAAGTGGAGCCTCTAGCATGGTAACAGGGTCCTCTATCTAAATGCTGCATCAGCCACACAGCTTGCAACCATACTGAGGGAGTACGGACTGAGCAACATATCATGGCAATGGACGCTGATTGCTAGAGCTGGTGGTGATGACATTGATGATGGGGATGATAATGATGATGGGAATGGAGATAATGATGTAGACATTGACGGTGGTGCCAACGACAATGCACTGCAATGGTTACAAATGAAACAAAAACATTATTACGTTAATCTGAGAGAAAAATACAAAATCTACTGTGTGAAAGTTATCTTTTACAGAAACAAATTCTCGTCCTTCATTGTGCTTCAGCTAGTGCAATTCAATGCATTATGCAACCAATACAAACACATTCATGCCAGTTTGACAGAATGACAGTTAATTAAAGCAGATAACACACATTCTATTAGTTTAACCACCTCACTGAATCCCATCACGTCATACAGCTACAGCATCAAAACCCTTACTCTATTTTGGCTACCTTTGCACCTTACTGGGGAAGTAGAAGTTGTCTTTCCTGTTAACTTCTTAATCACAGTTGCTAGCTGGACAAAGAACTGACAGCTCTTTGGTGGCAGCCCGGGGACCAAGCTGACAGGACAAGAGAGCTGGCCTCAGGCCAGACACCAGGACTGTATCTAAACACAGTGCATAGCTCAGTCTTCCATATGCAGCATGCCCTCTCTACACGGCCTTCCTCCTGCCTACAGGCTATTACAACAATGGTGGGCCAAAAGTAATGGACTGAATGTTTCAAAACCAATATAAAACACTTATATTATTAGCTTGTTTCAAATCATGTTTATGAAAAATGTTATTTGGTTATTTGGGTTTGTTCCAATCACATACTTTCTTCCACTTTCTATCAGACTATGAAATTGGAATGAATGAATTGACTCATTACAGCAAAACTTTATTTTACGCAGTTAATCCCTTTTAGCACTACGCCCAGCAGTCCACTATTCACACTAACCCATTTATACAAAAGGTCAGTTAAGATCTTGGGGGTCTTTGTTCTGTGCCAATAAGAGACATCCTTCCGTGCTTTAATATGACACAATCATATACTGTGGTGTTGTCTATTGTCTGGATGGTGTAAAACCCTGTGCAACAGAGTGGACCTCCAAGTGCAGGAGACCTTTCAACTTCCATTCACAACGAAGGACTTCAGTAACCCAGGAGAGGAGAGTGAGAAAGTGGAATGGGAGATCAAAACCCTTAGCCATGGTTTATTTTAAGACTTGGGGATTTCATCACAAGGCCCAACTCTAAACTTTGAAAGCTGATAGCGTTATGAAATATTGAGTGCTCCCTCGCTCATTCCCTGTTCCTTTTGCTCTCAAATTGAACATGATTTGTTGGGTTTGAAAGAGAGAGGAAAAAGAAAAAGAATAAGCAACTATTCGTTTAGTTTAAAGGTTTTTCATGCTGTGTATATATCAGTGCTTGTGGAAAGCATGGTGAGAATGTTACAATCAAAGTATACTTTGGGTAAACACATTTGTTTATATATGCCTACTGTGCAGTGTACAAAGCAGGATCAATGTCAGCAATATGGATTCATTTACCGGCAATGTAAGCCTAAACAGAAACAGCTATGGATCATTGTCAATACATTCAGGACAGAACACACTCTGTGAATGTACAAACACTACTGTATGTCCAAATAGAAAATACAGACAACGGGATAGTGATGATCTGATGTTCCTTTATCCCTCAAATATCCTTTCTAATGGTCCAGCCTCTGCTTCTTCTTGAAGACCTTCAGATTATGCTGCAGAACAGGGGACTATCATACTCATACTTTATCACTGTAGGAAGAAAGCCTGCTTGCTTCACTGACTTCCAAAGACAGTGTAATCATCTTGCTGGGCTTCAATGGGTAATTCATATGGTGTGTGGGTGGGACATTTGACAGTTCAGTCATTCTCCAGAGAGACTTACAGGAGCAATTAGGGTTAAGTCACTTGCTCAAGGGCACATCAAGAGATTTGTCACCTAGTCTGCACGGGGATTCGAACCAGCTTCCTTTCGGCTACTGGCCCAATGCTCTTAACTGCTAAGCTACCTGCCAGACACTGATATCCATATTAGGTTGTCTTTTAAACTCTATTACAGTGTGATGTTTGTTCTATAACATAAATATATACATGTACACACTTCTAATGAAATGGTATAATACTGGACATATTTACTCGTGTGAGAGAGGGAAGTGGTGTTGTTTCGAGCTTTACCATGCTTTTATTAGGAATGACATTCGTATGATGATGAAGATCAGCCTTTCTTTGCACCTGGTCAATGTTTATAACAATCTAGTCTAACACGTCCGTATTCATTTGATCCTTGTGTGTGTGTGAGTGTGTAGTCTGGTGTGAGTGTGTGTGCACGTGTATGTGTGTGCGTGTGCGCACGCGCGCGTGCTAAATGTCACTGCTTTCTCCCTGCTTCACATGGGGCTATTTTCCCCATGAGTGGGCAGGTCTTCTGGGGACCACAGAGAACTCTCTCCAGGCTCTTTACTAAAGACTACTACTACTACACACAACTCCGCATACAGAGGTCATACAAAAGAACACCACCATGTCCTTTGTGACATGCAGATAACACATGAAGGAGATAAGAACGCTACAAGGTGTACAGTAATGTCTAAAACTATTTACAATAGATTTGTTTATTTGTAACACTTTACAATACATTTAGAGCACACTTGCATGCCCACATGTGTGTCTTAGCGCAGAGATGAACACAGAATGACTAAGTTTGATCTAGCATGATAAGAGGACCATTGTTTTTTCTCCATATAGGATTATATTTCAAGAAAATTAGAGAAACACAAAGGAATAAATTACTAATGATTTCGTAATGTTCTTCTTCTTCTAAAGGAAATGCTGCTGTGACAACTACAGTTTATGACAGCTAATGATACTGATATGGTAACTGCAGGCTAATCTAGTTTATAACTATCCATAACAGAACTCTACAAAACTGAACTACGCAAAGGACGTCAAAATACCTTACACTCAAAACTACATAATGATCTCAAGCATCACCTCCAAGTTAGCAAGGGAATATACTGTTCACTTTCACAGTCCCCTCCAAAATGCCTCATTAAAACAGTTTCCCTTGTTTGAGCTATTTCCACCAGCAGCTCCAAAAGCATAATGTTTCTAGCTTACCACGGGCCTCCACTACTCTATCTCTGTGTTAGATGGAGATAGAGAATGAGAGAGGGAAGGAATGCGAGAGAGAGAAAGAGACGGTGGTAAAGAAAGAGAGATTACCCCTCGACTTCCCTGCAAAGATTACATCACTCAGCGAAGAGCCAATGAGGGTCATGACGTATGTCTAGGATGGAGGTCCTATGTTACCTAAGGGACTTCTTTCTTTTCCACTTACTCTCTCTTTTCATCTGTTTTCTTCCTGTCTATTTCTATGTGTGTACGATGTGTATTCAGGAGGAATACCAGACAAATGAATAGCTTTTTAATGAGAAACATACATCGGAACTCATTAACTAAATTTGCTGAATGAATACAAGTTGACACATCAATATGATGAAATTAGAAAACAAGAACCACAACATACATCGCTCAGCAGCACTGAGCGATAGCTAGAGAAAGCTAAGTGTACGTGTAGCAACCAGGAAATAGTATTTCAGTCTTCGTTTGGTTCAGACCCCAATAGTCGCTTCATCTGAGAGCCATCAGGCCAGTGAAAAAATGTATTGAATGTAGATAAATGATGATGGATGGGAGAATGGGAGATCAAAATAGCGGAGAGAATGGAGGAGAGGTAACCGAGAGGACCACAAAAGTGACATGTTAATGTCCTTAGATCCTACTTAACATGCATCTGTGTGGACAGGATTATTTTCCAAAGCGAGACTATGTTGTTTGTGATGTCCGACCTGTGAGATAGCTGAATCAATCCCACATTCCTCACCAGGGGCCTCATTTATCAATATTTGTCACGATTGTCATAATGAGTGGACCAAGGCGCAGCGTGATATGAGTACATACTTTAATAGGTACTTTTCAACAATTAACAAAACAACAAAACGATACGTGAAGTACCGGACCGGGCTGACGACGCACACCACTGGCTTGGTGCGGGGAGCAGGAACGGGCCGGACCAGGCTGACGACGCGCACCACAGGCTTGGTGCGGGGAGCAGGAACAGGCCGGACCGGGCTGGCGACGCGCACCATTGGCTTGGTGCGAGGGGCAGGAACAGGTGGGGCCGGGCTGGCGACGTGCACCATTGGCTTGGTGCGAGGGGCAGGAACAGGCCGGGCTGGCGACGCGCACCACAGGCTTGGTGCGGGGAGCAGGAACAGGCCGGGCCGGGCTGGCGACGCGCACCATTGGCTTGGTGCGAGGGGCAGGAACAGGCCGGGTCGGGCTGGCGACGCGCACCATTGGCTTGGTGCGGGGAGCAGGAACAGGCCGGGCCGGGCTGGCGACGCGCACCAATGGCTTGGTGCGGGGAGCAGGAACAGGCCGGGCCGGGCTGGCGACGCGCACCATAGGCTTGGTGCGGGGAGCAGGAACAGGCCGGGCCGGGCTGGCGACGCGCACCATTGGCTTGGTGCGAGGGGCAGGAACAGGCCGGGCCGGGCTGGCGACGCGCACCATTGGCTTGGTGCGAGGGGCAGGAACT